ACCACTACACTAGTTCTCTGTTGTAAACACCCTGGCAGATGACAATATCCAATCTGTGATTAACGGAGGTTTTGCTATGAACCAGTAATGATGAATGATTCGTGGACATGTGTTTTAATAGGTTACCTCAAAAACCACAGATCTAACTCCGAACCAGCCCAAATTATCTCTACCAGCCCAAAGCAATTTCTACCATTAAAATCAAAATGAAAACCACCCAATTAGGCAGGAAATCACCCGATCTGGCAACTGTCCTGAATATACTTTGGGTTGGAAGGTCTGTGCTGTTCGGCAGATGTGATGTCAAGAGCATCCATATTAAACAATGTTCAAGATTGATTTTGTGGATACTCAAAAGCATTGTGCTTAACTTAAACGGAAACTACAGGTAAGTGCCCTGTCACACCTCGCCGATTTATCGAGCGTATGCCCATCGTCCCAGAATCTCCTAAAACGCTGGCATACGCTGAACTTTCTATGTATCTTTTTTCAGTTTTGGGTGAATAGTATTCATAACGACTCCAATGTCCAATGACACAGCAGCGTAATGCCCATGAAATGATATACAAGCTAGTGTCCTGAGGGAATCAACCTTACGCCCAGAGGCTCCAGGCCTGCATAAAAATATTTATTTGATTGCAATACTAACCTAGCTGCTGTTTACCGCCCCTCCAAAAAAAAAAGAATAAAAAAAAGAAAAAGAAAGAAAAAAGGTTTGCTGTTGCAACAGATTCAGCGTCATGTCTGCTAGGAAGTTTGTTGGTCGTGGGCATGAATGCAGGAAGGATCCATCCCACTCACCTTCACACTTACCCTATGATGGCAATTAAGACTGGAGGAGAACTAAAAGTTTCCTCCTGTGAACACATGGAACAGCGGGAACACGTCTGATATGTTGATATGCGTTGGAGATAAGTTCTTGATAGGTTACGCATATGTTATGCACAAGTTACTTATAGGTTTTGGATAAGCTAGATGCCACGACTTAACGTATATTAACGATCAGATAACTAACCTCTACCTTATAGCCCACGTATGAGCATACGCTGGCATACATCGGGAAATTTTGAGCATGCTCTAAATTTCTCGAAGTACTTGCCATATGTCGATGTGGGCCAGCATGTTTCAGTGGGTTTCAGTGTATTTCAGTGTGCTCATAACTTTTACAAATAGTACCCATAACTTATAAAAGGTATGCCAGCGTTTTTGCCAGATTTTTCTTATGTCAGGCCTAAATTGTCAAGGCCCTAGAGAACCTACTGTCATATAGACAACTGTAAATGTATGTCTACTTTGTAAGTCTCTTTGAATAGAAGAGTCTAAATGCATAAACATAAACAAAAAAAACAAACAAACAAAAAACTTGTCAAGCACTAGCTACAAGAATGAGCAGAAGGGTGCTGCAGTTCTGTGTTCTGGCCAAAGGTGGCAGTATTATTAGAAAAGCCTGTAATGAATTTTTAAAAAGTAGAAAATAATTAAAAAAAAAATTTAGAAAAGAGCCTGATTGTGTATTGCAAGGTATACAAATTGAGAGATGTGCCCACTGTCCTAATGAAGGAAGCTGTGGAGACGAGCTTTTTTTAATCAAAATGGAAGATGGAGACAATAATATTGACAATCAGGAAGTGGGGAATGCTCTTAAGTGGATTGTGGGTTGCTTTAAAAAGACATTTTGATTTTGTCCTAGAGGGACTGTTTCGTCGTCCTACCTCTAGCACAGATTTCAACCAGCTGCTACCTGCTCTCATCCTGCTCCGTCACTCCTCTGACCCTCAGTTGTCCTCCTTTCACCTCCAGCAGTCAGTGTTTAGAGGCTAGCCTCAGCCTGTTGCCGCGTTTTCCTGCTATGTCTCCCTGGCGGACTTCTCAGATTTACCGCTGTCTTTCTCCCAGTCATCCACAGCCTCTCTTCCCCGCCTTTAGCAATCTGTTTACCCACCGTCCTCCATCAATCCTCCACTGTTAAACTTTATAGCCAGCCCTGGTCAGTCGTGGCCTCTCCCGGGCCTACAGTGCACTTTACTCAGCACCTGCTGAGCTCCACAGTGCTGCCTCACCTCACCTCCATTTTCTGGGTTATTCTTCCCCCTGTTTTGGGCACTCTGACAAAAACATTCATGGTCCTAGTGTAGGAAAAAGATGTGTTTCCGCTCAGAGGAAAATTCATCAAAAACTGGATGACCACTGAGATCTTCATAAAGACCGACCTGTTGCCAGTCATTACCAATGCAAGTCTAGTTTACAGAAATAATATAGAAATGTTATTTATTAGTCTTTGTAGGATTGTATATTGTAGTAACATTCAAGCACAAGTCATAGCTCAAAGATGTATGTCATCATACATGTGTGCGCTCCTATGTAATTATAAATACCAATTTCTAAGGCAACACATACATAAAGATTGAGACCTTCAGTTTGCAGATGATGATAAATAATATCCTGTAGTCTGTAAGTTTTTCATAGTGCTTTAAATGGTTCAAAAAGCATCAGCTATAATTGCAATATACCATTTGGTCAGTGGTAGACACAGAACATTTCTGGTATGCAGCCTGATGGGCTGATCTTCATCCATTCAGATTTAGATTCTCTGGAAATCAGAAGACTACATAGCAACAAACACATAGCCTTATACTTGTATTTGTTTACCACAAATCTAACCCCATCACATCCACAATTTCCTCATTGTTGGACAATAAAGGAATTTTCTATTATATTTTCTATTCTATTTGAGTCAACCTCCTTCAGAGATAAAAATATTGTTCTTGGTAAGAAAAGGTGACTTAGGGCCAGTGATTGTAAATGGGGTTGAAAGAGGAAGCTTGATTAAGTAATGTGTCTGTGTCACTTTTTGATACATTATAACACAACTTCTGCCTGTAAATGTGACTCCCTATATGAACTATGACTCCCAGCTATGGTTTAGCTTTAATTCTGCACAGTGTTTACTTGTAGTACTATTACATTTATCTAATGCATTGCAATATACAATTGGAAGTTCTAATATGTTTAGTTTTAATATGAGCCGGCTTAATGTTGTTTAACATTTGCTGATGCTTTTATTATCATTAATTATATGATTTAGCTTTTTTGATTCCTGCATCTTCTTCAATAGAGAAGAACTATCACATCACGGTAAATAATAAAAACAAGTGACTATGTTGTTTTTGGTGGTGTTTAATTTGACAGATTATAGAAGCATTTTATTTTAATGGAAGAGGCCATTTTTTCTAGTTAAATTCGGGTTTTTCAAGTCATCTTGAGAGGATTTTATGTATAAAAAGGCAGAAAATTATTTAATCTAAATTAATTTCATTGCATTTACAGTAATTTATCTTTAAAGTAACTTTACAAATATGGGAAGAATGAACAATAATTTTAATGAAATGCATAGCTTTATGTAAACCAGTTTCAAAATGTTGGGAGCAGGTGCACAAATGGAGGAACCAGTAAGATAACTTTTAATGGATTAGACCCCATAATCTCTGGCAGTGCCCCAAACTTTTTATAAAGTTTATCAGTTAATAAAGGCAATTTAGTTGTAAATAGTCCTTAAGAGTGTAACAAACAAGAAAGAGAGAAGATAGTATGTGAACTATTCTAAACGTTCCTGGAAATTAGGGGAAAAAAATAATTTGCCTGATTATATGTTAAAAAAAATCATGATAAATGACATTTACTTTATATCTATATATATATATAAAGTAAATATATTCTATATTTGAGTAAAATAAAAACTAAATGCTGTATAACAACTTATTTCGATTTCACATTGGCTGCTGTGAATTAGTTTTATCATCTCTGCGTAGGTCCACTCACAAATAAATTAGGATATTAATCAAGAGAAAACAAATACAGAATAGTAAAGGAATAATTGACAAAAAGCAGAAAAAATGAAATAAATTGAAAACTGTTGAATTGTCAAGAACATATTTTGGTGTAACTGCTTCTTGGTTTTCAAGTTATTTTATTCTGTTTTTGTTTTAAGTTCTTTTTGAGCTCTGAACAAAAATGGGTCTTCAATGAAAGGCCACAGTTGTTGATTCCTGAGCACCTGATTGGCTGCTGAATGAAGCGATTCTGGGATTCAGATCAATCCTAAAAGCTAGCGTGCCGCAGAGCAGGTTCGCCTTCATAGGACGTTGCCATAGTGACAGGCCTCCCTAAGAATGAATCCAGCTTCGAGGTACCAGAAACAGTGGCGCCTCCAGAAATTTTTCATAGGGGTGGCCAGATGGGGCCACTTAAATTCTTGGGGTGGCACACTGAAGCTAATGGCCATATTTTCAGGATTTTAAGACTTAAATAAACACCTATTTATATATTTTGGGTTATTGTGTGATTTTTAATGTTACTAATGATCTAATGTGCTGAGATATAGACCAGGGGTCTGCAACCTGTGGCAAGTGGCTCTTTGGACCTTCCACAGTGGCTCTTAATAACTTTGGCTACACATTATATTTTTATTGTGGCAATTAAATGTAATAATGATAATACAGGTTTTAGCAGTTTTTTTCTTGGAATAATTGCTATTAATTTTCACAACAGAATGATGGTGAAAGTGCCAGTAATATTTAATTTTAAATCCATATTTTTCCATTATGTTGGAAACTATGATTTATTTTACATCCTTATCCACAAATGTCAGCATCCCATCCATCATCTTTTTTTAAACCTCAAAATAGACATAAAAGGGCGTTTCTTTAACAATGACAACATATTTCCTACAGCAGATCTTTATCTAAAATATAACTTGTCCTTTTTCAAAAGGCCAGGCAACATTTGGGGCTCTGAACTAGTTTAATTCAAGTGGACTGAAGGCAAAATGGCTCTTTAGACTGTAAAGGTTGCGGCCCCTGATATAGACCAATAACAGTACAGTTAACATTTTGAGTTGCACAATAATTGCTTTGTATTATCTAATCACATTAGGAATTAGGTGTAATTTTATTCATTTATTGAAAACTAAATTATACTGGGGAAAAGCAGATACTGGCAGATAAAAATAAGAAATTATATCTTTATTTATGTAACAGGAATTTCCCAACAGGGAACAACGGTCATATAATGATTACAAGGATACAAAAAAAAGATTACAAGAAACACTTATATGTTAACTTATTCTTAATATATAAAAATATATATTATATATATATATTATATAAATATACAGAGTCTTTACTCTGAGAATATTCGAGCCATTTATATCTGCTGTACCACTCTTTAGAAAAACATATTTTCCTGTCCCCATGACAGGTTCTAGGGAAGATGTTTAGTTGTGGCTGCTTGGGCTGTTCTGCTCTTGACTGGGAGATATCTGCAATAAAACAGGAGCAAAAGTCCGTTATTCTGAAATCAAAATGATGAAACTAATAATAAATGATAATAATACCAGAATCTCCACCGTAATGAATAATTATAGCTGTATTAATGGCCTACAGGCATTTTGATTCAGAAAAATGAAAACTAACCCATCAACATTTTTTTTTTTAATTAATCAAAATTAATAAAAAAAAAAAACTTTAAGTGAGTCCTTATTGATTTGTGATTTAATGGAAACACAAGCAAAACATACATTTCTTTCGAGGATGTTATTTTCTAGACAATTCACTAATTTCATTTTATTCATTTTTATGGCCACATGGTCATAACTTCACCTGTCGGTCCAGGAACACCTGCTTTTGCTGAGTCCTGCCATGTTTCACTGATCAGTGGTGCTGACTGTTCCTGCTCTGCTGCCTGATGCTTTCCTCATCACTGTCTACTATCTCTGACTCTGTTTCCTCGTCATGCTGCTCTATCTGTTGCTTCCCCCCATCCACCTCCTCTTTCTCCTCCTTCTCACTCGCTCTCTGTTGATCCCCTGTCATCTCTTTATCTCTTTCCACTGTTATTTTCTTCTTAAAATAAGAAGATATATCTCTGGACTTTCTCTTCATTGTCTGGAAATTGACAAACCATACATAAGCACAAACAACGTTAGCTACGTAACTCTGTCAAAAAGACACTCAAAGTCGCTGTAACAGGAGCTGATACAGTTCATTTATGCCCCTCTTCTTTTACAAACGAACGATTTGACTTATTTACTTACCGTTAGTATTGTTCGCTTTCTCTATGAGTTTTTTTAATCACTGTTGAAGGCGGGCACGCGCTAAACTGTAGCTGTCGGAGAACGCAACTGCTGCTCGATGGGACGGAGTGGGGGCGGGAGGGGGAGGGGAAAGGCTGGTGAGCTACGGTGCACGAGAAGGTCTAGAAGAGCGGCAGTGTTGCTGGCTCTGCATAATGGGATAAACCGCTAAACTGACGCTACTACCATTTACACTGGCGAGTTGGGTGGCCAGTGGCGATGTCCTGGTGACGCCCCTGACCAGAAAGTCAGGGTTAAACCTGAAGTTGAACAAATTACGTCCATAAGTTATTAAATGTAATGATAATTTTCCATCACAAACAGCAAAAGAAGTTCTACTCCGATGAAAACCTATTGCAACACTGATTCACGTCTTGTGTATCTTTGACCCCTTTTGGTCTATAAGGAAAATATAAGTTGGCAAGACTTGTGTACAAGAAATCAAACCATGCCCCCACCTGAGCATATGATATAGGGGTTGATGTTGTGTACTGGACAAAACAAGCATAAAGAACAGTTTCTTATATAGAGGAATCCTGCAGGTAAACAGCAGCTGTGCTAATCCATATTCTAGTCTTTTCATTTCACGGCTGTCAACAGGGAAGAAACATGAGCAAAACTGCACCACTTGCCGCCACAGAAAAAATATTAAGAGGAATTTTCACACTTGAATTTGTGCCAATTCATGCCCATGCATGCACACATGTCAACAGCAATATAAAGGCTGAGTAGCCCACACAAGGCTGACAAGTATTTCAGGGTGGAAGGACATGGATGATAAAGGTAGTTAGAAGCTGCCCTCCTACCTGGAAAGAAACTATGTTTATATTGCCTTTTCTAGGTTTGTTCAACACTAAAAGTTACACACAAGAAAAAAGCAAATTAAACGAACCAAAAACGTCCTTGGCCATTCATAGTTTTATATTTACAAAGAGTTTATTTCATTTTGTGAAGGGATTTTATCCTGACTATTTTTCAGAGGAAGTTTTATAGTGTCTTTAGTCTTTACAGTGTCTTTAAAAATGTCCAAATTGATGGTGATAATGTAGCCTGTATCTACAAGCTGGGTTGGGATATCAGTGCACACAGGTATGTTGTTGCAATTACTCTGGTATACCTTGTTGTTGATTTGAAGTGCTCTGACATCCTTTACAACGCTGTTAAAATATTGATTGTACCGGTCCATAGATTTCAGCCTGTGAAGCTCCTTCATGTGAAGGTGTTTTTCAGGTTCAGGAAATGATTAATGTGTTATAGTAAGATGGTGGTGGCAATTGTGTCCACGTTGTCTGAAATCTTTCTGTTCTTTGGTTTATATGGGCCATTCTTGTAACTGATACCTGCTATATAAATTGCCGCTGTGCTGCAGCTTTGTGCCATTGTAAAGCAGTTAACTGCTGTTCAGTCCCTAAAAGCAAATGTACCAAAGTTTATCCACAGCCATCATACCCCAGCTTAAGCCATTCAGATAATTGTCAAGTAAGATTATCGCCAAGCACAGATAAAGACGGGTAAGATTATCATTTGGTAAAAGGTTAGACCAAGAATATGAACAATAGTGGAGGAACTTAATACTGGCAGTGGAAAATGAGCCCAGTATAAAAGTGGGTTTATCCACAGAGAGCTGATGTTAGCAGGTGAGAGAAGCACTTGGAAAAGTCTCACAATTATTATTCAACCTACCTGGACTGGGTTCTTTGAAGGCAGTCAAAATAAGAAGGCCGGTAGAGTTTTTTTTGAATAGATTCAAACGGATCAAGCCTTCTCCAGCTGTCACCACCCCTCACTCAGCAAAAGGACATTACAACTTTTTTGTTTTATGTTTTTTTGGTGCTATATACACTCTTTTTATATTTTCTGTCGTATATTTGTCTTAAATGGCATTTTGCTTTAACTCTTTGTACTCTATATAAGCTACAGGAACCAAAATTTCCCCAAAGGAATAATCCCAAGGGATAATTAAAGTTGAATCTAAGTCTAAAGGCTGGATCATGCTCAGAAACTAGGTTGTATGCGTGTGTGTCGCAGTTAATGTAGATATGCCGCCTTCCCTCCGCAGACACTCTGGTGCACCTCTCCAAAACTGTAGGTGACCGCAGACAGTGCCGAAGACAGGAGGCCTCTGATTGGTCAAATCTACATCCGCTCTACACTATGCGTATTTCCTGTTTGGTACCTTACCGTCTTGTTTTGTTTGTATGACCGCCATTGCGGAAAGATGGACCAGTTAGAAGAGCGAGATGCGCGAAAACGCTGGGACCCTTTTTCTACCTGGATCCATGCTCTTTTTCGCCCTCATGTCCCTCCATTGTCGCACAAACTTGCCCCCACTTCCCCATTGCCTTGGCTGTATCTAGACCCACAGCCAGTTCGTGATTGTCCCTCTTGCGTTGTGGCGTGGAATAACATAGCGCAGACAAAGCTTCAACATTGGGCATAAATCAAAAGCATCTGCTTCATACCTGCGACAAGCTGACTGCGAAACATTGCTGCGGGAGTATAACCAGCCCTTAAGTCTAAGTCTAAGCTCTGTCACCTAGCAACCGTGACAGTGGAATTACAAAGAAATCAAACACGGATTCTTGAAACTTTGGCAAAAACATGTCCCACTAAGAAAAGTGCTAATTCTGTTGGAAAGAAATAAAATTTTCATGAATAAAAACAATCAAGGTTATAATCAGGGGGTCCTTTGCACAAATGCAAGGTTCTTTTAAAGTTTTTTTATTTTATTGTTAATTTAATGATTATATGCTGGCCCATTGCCTATAAAATCAGTTGTCCTTGGATAGGAGATAATCATTTCAACTTGATTAAAAAAACAAAAAGTAATAATTGAATTGAATAATATCTTTACCAAATGAAAGGGTACATTTTAATATGTATTTAAAACTACAAACAGTGAGTTTTGAACAATAATAACCATTATTTTGTGATTGTTCAAAATGTGTCCCACATATTTGTCACCACCGTCAGATATTTATAAAAAGCAATAAAATCAGGCAACTAAAAGGTCAACTACATGCCTGAGGACCCCATTTTCAAATCTTCAGCTCTACTGGATGCCTTAAGGTCACTCAAGCTCCTGTAGGTTTGCTATTTTCTCTTAAACTTGTTCATATTTTTTGGACACTGCTAATGTCACAACCATAACATGTCAACACCGTCTCTTTTGTATAAAAAATATTAGATTAGATTATGACATAAATGTTTACTTTTTAAGAAGAGGTCTAAAGTAGCTAGCAACAGAGGGGAAACAAGATGGCTAATGTGAACAACTCATGCATATCATGTGAAAGAGTAGGATTTTGTCACCACCGTCAGACGTCACCACCGTCAGATTTTCTGTCTGACGGTGGTGACGCACAGTCTGACGGTGGTGACAAAAAACTACAAATGGTTCTCAATGGAGGCTAGAAAATAATTGTTGATCTGTAATGTTTCATTAACCTCTTTTATATTTTTATTTATGTAATTCCGCCTAGATTTCTTACATATTGTATAACCCTAGGGGATGGGGTGTGCCTTCCCTGTCTCTCAATTCACTATTATGCCATGTTCATTTGGTTTACATCATTTGGGATGCACATAGTGCACCTACTACCTACCTACATAGCACATAGTATACAATATTCCTTGTAAGCTATGGCAGGGCAACATTTAACCAAATCTAACATTTACTGTAATTCCCCCCAATTTCATAGTCATTACACTCAACTTTGACTTTATGTATTTTAGGAAGTTATGGCTAGGAAGCAGCTATCTGTGAAGGAAAGAAGGAAAAGAAACAGGGAATATCAAAAGAAGTGTGAAGGCCTACTGACAAAAAACCTACATATATTCAAGCAATTACTCAGAAGGTTCAAAATTTCTACCATAATGCAGCACGAATGACAACTGACAAACAGGACACAATCACACGCAAGAAAATAAAGCATCAGAGAATGATTCTGACTGATAATGATATTTCTTAATTGTACCTTATATTCCTTGAAAAATATTTGTCACAGTGCTCATGATTGTTATTTTTTGGACCAAATAGTTAAATAAAGTTAATAAGCAAGAAACCATTGACTTGAATTGTATACAGTTTGGAATTGTATGTTGAAATGAGGCCACTGTCACCACCGTCAGTTCTAAAGTCACCACCGTCAGAGGGCTTTTTATTCGTTTTAAATTAATATGCTTGCAATATGTTTCTTCAGTGCTGTTCTCTCATTAAAGTAATGGTCTCTTTTAATACAAAAATATGTTTGTTAAATAAAAAAACATGACTTTTTCTATTTAGGCTTAAAGTAAACGTTATCTGATGTTAGATATTTTAAAGGACTACACATGATACAGTTAAAAAAAATTAACAAAAATGATTATTCAACATTTAACAGCATAAATGTGTGCTAACAATGCCAGATAAAGATTTAAAAACTCTAAATACTTATTAGACCAAATAAATAAAAAATAATTAGCTTTTTATTGTGTCTGATGGTGTTGACAAAAACAAAGTAATAACTGGAAAAATGCCTATTTTATGAAAGAAATACAAAATGAGGAGGTTGCACCTGTACACTGCTGAACAGCCAAGACCTTGGTCTATAACAATATACCTTCAGATT